CTTTCTCTTCCATGAGATTTAGTGTTTCTGTTTTAATGTTTAGATCTGCAATCCATTTTGACTTTAGTGTTGTGCATGGTGATAGACCTGGGTAAAGTTTTAGTTTTCAGCATGTAGGGAGCCAGTTTTTCCAGCACCGTTTGTTAAAGATGCTGTCTTTCTTCCAGTGAGCATGTTTGGCCCCTTTATTGAAGATAAGGTGGCTAAGTCTGTTTGTAGTTGCATGTGCATCTTCTAACTTATTCTATTGATTCTCAGTTCTATTTTTTTGTGAATGCCATGCTGATTTTATCACAGTTACTTTATAGTATAATTCCAAGTCAGGAACTGTAATGCTTCCTGCTTTGCCTTTGTTGCCCAAAATTGCCTTTGCTATTCTAGATTTTTTCTAGTTTCAAATAAATTTTAGGAATCAATTCTCTAGATCAGTGAAGTATGTTGGTGGTATTTTTATAGGGATTGCATTAAATCTGTATAACAATTTTGAGATTTTAGCTATCTTCACAATGTTGGTTTTTCCTATCCAGGAGCAGGGAATATCTTTGCATTTTCTGAAATCCTCTATGATTTATTTTTTCACAGTACTGTAATTTTCACTAGATAGATCTTTTACTTCTTTAGTTAGATTAATTCCTAAGTATTTGATTTTCCACGGTGCTGTTGTAAAAAGTATCATTTCTCTTATTTCCCTCTCACTGTGGGTTTTGTGTGTGTGTGTGTGTGTGTGTGTGTGTGTGTGTGTGTGTGTGTGTTTTGGAACCAGGCATTGAACTCAGGCCCTTGCGCTTGCCAGGGAAGCACTTACTCCACTTACCCATCTCCCCAGCCTCAGTGTGTTTGTTATCTGTGTAGAGGAATGCTATTGACTTTTGGGTATTGACTTTGTATCCTGCTATGCTACTGAATTTGTGTATCAATTCTAGTAGCTTCTTAGTGGAGTTTTTGGGTCTTCCAAGTAGAGTATCATGTCATCTGCAAATAATGATAGTTTAACTTCTTTACCTATTCTTATTCCTTTTATTTCTCTCTCTTGTCTCATGGCTCTAACTAATCATTCCAGAATTATATTGAATAGGAGTGGTGATAGAGGTCATTCTTGTCTTGTACCAGATCTGAGAGTTAAAGCTTTCAGTTTTTCCCCATTTAAAATTATGTTAGCTGTTAGGTGGTCATAGATGGATTTTAT